GTTTCTTTTTATTGCTGAATATACCACATTTTGTTTATCTATTCACCAATTGGTGGATATTTGGATTGTCTCTAGTTTTTGCCTCATATGAATAATGCTGTTATGACTATTCAAGTACAAGTGTTTGTGTGACCACATATTACATATCTTTTGGGTAGATAATAAGAGTGGCATTGCTGGATCCTATGGTAAATTTATGATCAACCTTTTAGAAACTGTCCAACTTTTCCAAAGTAGCTATACCATTTTAATGCATTCACACCAGAAATGTATGAAAGTCCCTGATTCTCCAAATCCTTTCCAACATTTGTTATAATTTTTTAAATTATAGCCATTTTAGTACATGTAAAGTGGTATTTCATTGTGGTTTTCATTAAAATTTCTCTAATGACTAATGATGTTGGGACCTCTTCATGTGTTTATTTGTGTATCTTCTTTGGTGAAATGTCTCTTCAAATCTTCTGCCCATTTTTTTAAAAAAGTGTTTTTATTGATTTTTAGGGAGCAAGGAAGGGAGAGGAAGAGAGAAAGGGAAACATTGATGAGAGAGAAACATCTATCAGCTGCCTCCTGAACGCTCCCTTCCCTACTGGGGATCGAGCCCGCAACCCAGGCATGTGCCCCGACCAGGAATTGAACCAGCAACCTCTTTGTGCATGGGACTATGCTCAACCAACTGAGCCACACTGGCTAGACTCTTTTGCCCATTTTTATTCATTTATTTTATTTTAAAAAATATATCTTTATTGATTTCAGAGAGAGGAAGGGAGAGGGAGAGGGAAAGATAGAAACATCAATGATGAGTCATTGATCGGCTGCATCTTGCACATCCCCAACTGGGGATCGAGCCCATAACCCAGGCATGTACCCTTACTAGGAATCAAACTGCGATCTCCTGGATCATAGGTCAATGTTCAACCACTGAGCCATGCCAGCTGGGCCCTTTTGCCCATTTTTAAACTGGGTTGTTTTTCTTCTTTTTATTGAGTTGTAAGAGTTCTTTATATTTTCTGGATACAAGTTCTTTATCAAATACATGATTTACAAATATTTTCTCCCAGTCTGTTTTGTACTTTCACTTTTTAATAGTGTCATTTGAAGCACAAACCTTTTTGGTTTCGGTGAAGTCCAATTTATTATTATTTTTTATGTATCATGCTCTTGGTGTCCTCTCTTAATACAAGGACAAAGAGATTTTCTCCTGTTTTCTGCTAAAACTTTTATAATTTTGGCTTTTATATTTACATCTGTGACCCATTTTGAGTTAATTTTTAGCATGGCATTAAACAAGATTTAAACTCATTGTTTTGTGTGTGGATATCTAATTATCCCTGCACCAAATGTTAAAGACTTTTCTTTCTCCATTGAATTGCCTTCACACTTTTGTAAAGAATATGTTTACCAAAAATATGAGGGTTTGTTCCTGGACTCTCGATTCTGTTCCATTGATATATGTCTCTGTCCCCATGCCAGTACCATACTGTCTTGATTACTGTACATTTATAATAATTTTGAAATTAGGAGATGAATGTCCTCCCACTTTGTTCTTCTTTGGCAAAATCCTGTTTGCTATTCTTATACCTTTCTGTTTCTTTTTTCTTTTTAAAATATGTTTTTTATTGATTTGAGAGAGGAAGAGAGAGATAGAAAGATCAATGATGAGAGAAACTCATTGGTCGACTGCCTCCTGCATGCTACATACTGGGGATTGAGCCCACAACCCGGACATGAGCCCTGACCAGGAATCAAGCTGTAATCTCCAGGTTCATGGGTCAACACTCAACTACTGAGCCACGCAGCCCAAGCTATTTCTTTATAAATTTTAAGATTAGCTTATCAATTTCTGGGGAAGAAAGTCTTGTAAATGGGATAAAGTTGTACTGAATCACATGTAGATCGTGTGATTTTTCTTCTTTAGCCTGTTAATATGATAGATTATATTGCATGATATTGAATCTTGAAGCAACCTTGCATCACTAGAATAAACCCCACCTGGTCATGATGTATATGTTTACATGTTTCTAGATTCAATTTGCTAATATTTTGAAGATTTTTACATCTACATTCATGAGGAACAATGGTTTGTAGTTTTCTTGTGATATGTTTGTATGGCTTAAGCATCAGGGTACTACTGGCCTCACAGAGCTGAGGAGTGTTCCCTTCTCCTCTATTTTCTAAAAGATTTTGTGGAATGTTGATATTACTTCTCCCACAAATGTTTGATGCAATTAACCAATTAAACCAACTGGCTTTGGTCTTGTGTGTGTGTGTGTGTGTGTGTGTGTGTGTGTGTGTGAAGAATTAAATTTACTAATTGCTTACTATTGCTGGTGGAATGTAAAATGGTGCAGCCATGTGAAGATCAGGCCTGGGTCTCAGTTCTGTCAACTGTCTTGGGGAAATACTGTGGTGGGATTGGAGGACAAGGAAATAAATATTAAAACCACACTGCAATATTACTATACACCCACCATAATGGCTAAAGTAAAAAAGATGGAAAATACCAAGTGTTGACAATGATGTGGAGCAGCTAGAACTTGTATACTGTGCTGTTGGTACAGCCACTTGGAAAACTAGTTTTATTTATTTTTTAAAAATGGAATGCTTCATGAATTTGCATGTCACCTTTGTGCAGGGGCCATGATAATCTTCTCTGTATCATTCTGATTTTAGTTTATGTGCTGCCGAAGTGAGCACTGGAAAACTAGTTTCATAAATTAAAGCTGACTATATGGACACCCTATGACCAGTCAGTTTAACTTCTAGATGTATACCTAACAGAAATTCATAAATATGTTCATCAATAGATAAGTACTAAAGTATTTATAGCAGCACTATTCCTAATAACCCCAAGCTGCAAACAACCCAAATGTCCATCAACAGTAAGATAAATATATTGTAGCATATTCACAATGGAATATAACATGACAATGTATTATTGACAACTACATTAAGCAATATAGATGAATCTTATATTCATAATGTCAATGAAAGAAGATAAACACTGAAATATGAAATATAATTGTTTGACTTAATTTATGTAAAATACCAAACAGACAAAACTAATCTATGCTGTTAGAAGTCAGTATAGAGTTTACCCCTGTGAGGGCAGTGGTAAGGCCTGGAAGGGAGCAAAGGGAGTGCTTCTGGACTATTGATCATGTTCTGTTTCTTGATCCGAGTATGTTCAGTTCGTGAGAACTCATTGTTCTGTATGCTTATGACATATGCACTTTCTGTATGCATTATACTTTAATAAAAAGATCTAAAGAAAAATAAAATTGCATACTAGAAAGAAAACCCTCTATCTCATGAGTATTGTAAAAAACATTTAAGGGAAAATGAGAAAGTGCCTATATATCAGTGCTTTTAAAAAAGCAATGCTCGCCTGGCCAGGCGTGGCTCAGCAGTTGACCATTGACCTAGGATCCAGGCACTCGGGGTTTGACTTCCAGTCAGGGCACATGCCCGGTTGTGGGTTTGATCAATGACTCTCTCATCATTGATGTTTCTATCTCTCTCTCTCCCTCTCCCTTCCTCTCTCTGAAATCAATAAGGATATATTTTTAAAAAATAAAAATAAAAAATAAAAAAGCAATGCTCTTTGTAGAGAAGTCTTCCAGTTATTCAACTATAATAATCATATCTTTAACCAACCACAATGCAAAATGATTTTATCCCATAGTAATCTACACAAAAGTACTCTTAATATGAATGTAGAAAAAGAATATATCTTGCCCTAGCGGGTTTGGCTCAGTGGTTAGAGTGTCAGCCTGTGGACTGAAGGGTCTCAGGTTCAATTTCATCCAAGGGCACATACCTCAGTTGCAGGCTCAATCCCTGGCCCTGGTCGGGGTGCATGCGGGAGACAACCAATCAATGTGTCTCTCTCACATCTATTTTTTCTCTCTCTCTTTTCCTTCAACTTTCTCTGAAAAGCAATGGAAAAAATATCCTTGGGTGAGGATTAAAAAAGAAAATGAATATATCATAATCAAATTGGAAGAAAAACAAAATCAAAACTTTATGTATTGAAACCCAATTTCTCACTCATTGTTTTTCTTTTTTAATATATCTTTATTGATTTCAGAGAGAGGAAAGGAGAGGGAGAGAGAGAGACAGAAACATCAATGATGAGAGAGTCATTGATCAAGCCCACAACCTGGGCATGTGCCCTGACCAGGAATCGAACCCCAATCGCCTGGATCCTAGGCCGACGCTCAACCCCTGAGCCACACCCAGCCGGGCCTCATTGTTCTTCAAACGAGAATCCCAAAGAAAGTAAAGGCGTCAGTGGATGAGACTGGAAGTCCCGAGTCCTGTGGCTCAGGGTCAGTCACTAAAGAGATAAGAAGTCTGTGGTCTGCAACTTACATAAATGATAGCTTTGGGGGTACAGGTTAGAAGGTATGCATAGCTTCTTCGAGTATGAATCATCACTTGCTGCCACAGCATGGAATTAATGAGAGAACAATTGCCACCTTTAGATGTGTGCAAAGTTTAATAACTATATTCCTGTAACATAAACTAGAGCTTTGCTTAATTTGCTGATGCATAAAGTCAGACTTAACTTTAAGTTTTAGAATTCTATTTAATTTTCAAAAAATACACCATGGTGAGTTCTCAAAGGGAAGAGAAAGACAGTTCCTCATGGCAGTCTTTTCTGTGTCTTAAATGTCAATGATTACAAAAATGTCTGGCTTCTACTCACAGATCTGCATTCCCAAATAGGTTTTTGCCTTGATTTCAGTGCCCTGCATGTATTTGGACAATGAAAACTTTTCTTCCCACCCTAGAAAATTGAAAAAATTTTGGCTAGCATTGAGTACGTTTACATTCCAGGGTATGAAGAACTAATCAATGCTAAATTTATAAAGTCCTTTATCTAAAAAACATAAGAGAGTACAAATCATCTCCTGGGGTCTCTATTTCTACCATTTGCAGGATCTTGAGAGTCCCTGTACGAATCATGAAACGAAACAGGACTATTGCCCAGAGGCTTTATCAAAGAGTCTCCCTACACATATAATTGTGTATTAACTGTGGTGATGCAGTTACTTGGATTTGGGGGATACTTGGCTTTGTTTGCCTCCTATTCATTTCACCTGTAGTCTGTCATATCTACTTTCCCTGCACAATGATTGCAGCATCAGGTACTTCTCTTCCCCATTGAGATGTCTGATGCATACCCAGTTATAATTTCCAGATGAAGGCTTTTTCAGTCACTGCCTTTATAAAGTTTTTTTCCACTATGAGTTTTCTGGTGTTTAATGAGATCTGATCTGTTAGTGAAGGCCTTCTGACATTCTGTACAAGCATAGTGCTTCTTTCCTGTATGAATTATCTGATGCATACTTAGTGTTGCTTTCTGGATGAAGGCTTTCCCACATTTACTACATTCATAGTGTCTCTCTCCAGTATGAGATTTCTGATGGATAGTGAGGCGTGACTTCCAGGTGAAGGTTTTTCCGCAGTCATTGCATTTATGGGGTTTCTCTCTAGTATGGATTTTCTGGTGTGTTATGAGATTTGACCTGTCAGTGAATGCCTTTCCACATTCAGCACATATATTTGGTTTCTCTCCTGTGTGAATTTTCTGATGTACACGGAGTTGCGACTTCTTAGTGAAGCATTTTCCACAGTCACTGCATTCATAAGGTTTCTCTCCAGTATGAATTCTATGATGTGCAATGAAGTGTGATTTCTGGATGAAGGCCTTCCCACAGTCAGGACAAACATAGGGTTTCTCTCCTGTATGGATTCTCTGATGCACACTTAGTGTTGATTTCTGGATAAAGGCTTTCCCACATTCATTGCATTCATAGTGTCTCTCTCCAATATGAGATTTCTGATGGATAGTGAGGCGTGACTTCCATATGAAGGCTTTCCCACAGCCATTGCATTTATAGGGTTTCTCTCCAGTATGAGTTTTCTGGTGTTTAATAAGATTTGACTGATCACTGAAAGCCTTTCCACATTCAGCACACATGTAGGGTTTCTCTCCAGTATGAGTTTTTTGATGTGTAGTGAGATTTGTCCTATGAGTAAAGACCTTTCCACATTCTGCACATATATAGGGCTTTTCTCCTGTGTGAATTCTTCGATGCACATGGAGTTGTGACTTCTTAGTGAATGATTTCCCACAGTCACTGCATTCGTAAGGTTTTTCTCCAGTATGAATTCTCTGATGTGTATTGAAATGTGATTTCTGGATGAAGGCCTTCCCACATTCAGTACATACATAGGGTTTCTCTCCTGTGTGAATTCTCTGATGCATCCTGAGTGCTGATTTTCTTGTGAAGGCTTTCCCACACTCACTGCATGCATAGAGTTTCTCTCCAGTATGAGTTTTCTGATGTATATTGAGGTCTGAATTCTGGGAGAAGCCTCTTCCACATTCACTGCATTCATAAGGTTTTTCTCCTGTATGAATTCTCATATGTCTAAAGAGATATGATCTGTGGAAAAAGGCTTTTCCACATTCACTGCACTTGTAGGGTTTCTGCCCAGTATGAATTTTCTGATGTGTAATGAGGTTTGACTTCAGAGTAAAGGTTTTCCCACATTGAGCTACATCAATCTGGGGCTTCTGAGTGAAGACTTTCTCACTTTTGTTGCATTCATGGGATTTTTCTCCAGCATGGATTATCTGACGCTCAAAGAGATCTGACTTCTGGATGAAGCTCTTTACATACTCAGTACATACATAAAGTTTCCCCCCAGTATGAATTTTCTGATGGTGGATGAGAACTTGTTTGTGGCAAAGATGTTTTCCACATTGATTGTGTTCACAAGCATTTGCTCCTGTATTAGCATTCTCATCCTTAGTACAGGAAGAGCTATGGGCAAAATTGTTGCCATTTCCAAAAATCTTATCAAGGTTCAATGTTGCATTGCTTTTATTATGATTATGTAAGTTTAAAGTATGCTTCAAACTCTTTCCAAATGTGTCACAGTTATGGGGTCTTTTAATTGAAGGAACAAGCTTGGAACTCACATGAATTATTTTTTCAATGTTTTTACATTTGTAGCCCCTCTCTTTAATGAATACTTTCAAATGACTTGCAGGGTTATTTTGGTTTTCTTGATATCTCTCTAGCTGGTCATTATCTTGCCATACTTCTTCCAAAATGGAACACAATGAGTCTTCTATGAATTGACCGAATTTCTCACAGTGGAATGAAACTTCTCCAGAAATTCTCTGTTGTGGAGTTTGCCCAATATCCTCATCTAAAAGTAAAAAGAATAAAATGAAAATGACTCAAAGAACAATTAGCAGAGGCTAGAGGGTGCATGTAACTCAGACAGGATGAACACAGAGTCCATATGACAATAATGAAAATAGTAACAACATAGTAATATAAAATTCTTCTAGAACACTCACAGTATGCAAAACATATGTGATGAACTGGGCACTGTTCCAAGTGTTTTACACATAACAGCTCATTTAATCCTCATTAAACTCTGAAGAGGTAGCTATCATCAATCATGTTTCACAGATGAGAAAACAGAAACACAGAGAAGTTATGTAACTTGCTGAATATCAAATAGCTTAATAAGTGAGAGTGATGGAATTTGAACCCGGGAATCCATATCCACTAGTAGGAGGTCTGGATAGTGATTAGAGTAACCAGTAGAAGAAACAAGTCTGTAAAAAGGAAGCCTGGCGTGCAAGAAATATTTCATACTGTATGTCATTATTACATAGCCCTAAAACCTTACTAACCTCTCTGCTTCTTCTTGCTTTTCTCTCTGAACCATTATGAGCATCAACATTAAACTTATGTGCATCAAATATCAATTCCTTTATATCCTTAGGAAAAACTCTTACAACACCAGCCATCTTGACATAGACAAACAGTAAACAGGTATCTGTGCTCCAACTCTGTATCTAGCTGCAAGTTTTCCTTGGTCCCAGGAATATATGCTTTTAAGAAGTGTAAAATAAAAGAGGGAAAGCCATGCATGGCAGAAACTTCAAGCCATTCACCAAGATCTATTTTCTCTCCTTTTATAGTAACAGAATGTAGCTGGGCATTACAACGACCAGCTTCACTTTGTTCTTACCAGTGGAGTATGAACAGAAGTGATATGTGCCACTTCTGGGTCAGGCCTTAAGACAGTGGGCAAATCTTCTGTATTCCTCCTTTCCTTTCCCTTTGGATGCAACAATGACCCAACATTAACCACACAACCAACAACAATGCCTTAAGAGATGGCAGAACAATGATTTGGAACATGGTCCATGAGTGATGCACCAGGATTAGAGTTGACCTGTTGAATGAACCCATTCACCTCAGAGTTCTTATATGAGAGGATATACATTTATATTAAGCTTGTTGTTTTACTCCTCTGTGCATATTCAAAATGGATTGTCCTCAATATTGGCTCTAATTTCAGTACAGCTCTAGGGAGGTTATATCTACTGTGAATATATAAAGAAATATGGTACCACAATTTGACACAGTTTTGTGTTATAAGAGAAAGAATTCATACACAAAGACTGAAATTATTAACATTTCATGCAGTTATCTTTCCTTTCCAAATATATTCTATGGTCCTTTGAATTCTTCTTAGCAGACACTTGAAAAATCCTTCTGAAAGACAGCAAAATATCCTCCTCTATCCCCCCAAATTCAATAAAGTTAAATTTAAATTTACTAATTTTCCATGCTTCACTTTGGAAAACTGAAGAATAAGTGTGCCAACTATCAATTTATTGCCTCTCAACTCCAAATTCAGGCTTCCTTGTCCATTCTACAAAAATGGATCTGGATCTCTTTAAGTATGTTTTTCCTTTGCCAGCTGGCACAATGATGACCTTGGTCATTAGAGGGTAATGGAGAGACACTGCAGAAGGGAGGGGTTTTGCTTCCTGGTTCTAGTGGGCTCACTCAGCACATTCTTTCAGCAAGGGCAGCTTGTTTAGCACCAGGCTCCTGCAGTGTGGGTGGCTGCTCTGGAGTTTGGCTCCTGTCTATAATGGGTGACTTCTCCAGCACCCAGCTCCTGCAGCACTAGTATCTTCTCCAGCTCCAGGTTCCTGCAGTGCATTGCAGCCAGCAACACCCAGAGGTTTACCTTGGCACTCTTCTCAGATGATTGGTAGGGGAATACCTCCAGCAAGACAATTCCCCATGATCAGCTTTCTTTGGAACCTCAGAAGGCAGATTTCCAGCAAGTTCTGCCAGTGTGGCACCACGGCAATTCTTCTGCCATGCTGTGAACCACGGCTGTGCCCTCTAAACTAAGTCTGGATCTCATCTCTTGGAAGCAGTGGAGGAATTTGTTTGGGTGCTTCATCACAATGGTAGAGGTACTGGCTATTCCTTATTCCTGCTATTCCCTTATACTTTAGAGTTCTTTTTACTTTTACTAGTGATCCTTTGTTACTCCAATTCCACTATAGCTAATAATTCTTTATGTTAAACTTTCCCAGTTCAAATTAGCATGTGGTTTCTCTCTCCCGATCAAGCTCTGAATTATACAATAGAAATAGGGTCTTAATTCTGGGAACCTTCTAAAAACAGAGGTAAAAGCCTCAGTTATGACACAGTCTAAAATCCTGGCCTTTTATCTAAGTTCCTACGAGATGGAGGAAGAGAAAAAGGAAAAAGTCATATATGCTGATATAATTAAGAGCCATTTCATGGAACAATGAAATCTGATCACAGCATGAAAATGTATCATTTGAGGGATTAAAGATGGCAGCGGACTGAGTGGAAGCTACAATGACACTCTCCCAGGACCAAACCGGAATTACAACTAAAATATAGAAAAACCATCCTGAATAATCAACTGCAACTGAAGACTAGCTGGAGAGTGCCCTCATAACCAAGGGGGAAAAGTGGAGACCACATAGAGATTGGTAGGAAGTGCAGAGACACGAGAGGGCTGGCAGCAGCTGAAGGTCCAGAGGGATATCTCAGCTGTGGAGGGTTCCCACTGAGGACTCTGGGGCCTAAACCTCAGGCTGGGCTCCCCAGCTAAGAGCACCAGAACTGAGAAAAGTGCCCACATAGCAACTGGCTGTAAAAAGCAGCAGGATTTCTGTCTGCCAGAGAGAGACGGATGGAACTATAGGCACCCTCTTAAAGAGCCAACACACAAAGTTTTGTGTGCAGCCACTCACCTTGGGCTACAGCAGAGGGACGGCAGAGTGGACTGGAGCTGTGTGAGGAGAATCTAGGGTTGTAGGCTCTGGAGATTGAGATCAGAAGGCACCCCTCTGGATTCCTGTGCTGAGTCATTCCCCCATACTGCAGAGGACAACTCTCTCAGGCAGACAAATTACTGCTTTTGCTTGGGTAGGGAAGCAAGTGCCCCACCCTGCTGGAAAACCTCTCGCCTTATCCAGAGGAGTTTCTATAGCCTGAGGCTCATTAAGAGACTGATAACTACCAGCCACCACAGCCTGTGGAGTTTCTACAGCTTGAAGCTCATTAAGAGAATCAGATTAATCAGCCTGCAGGCAGAGGCAGACCTCAGAGTGCTTTGAGTCTTTGCCTGATCTGCTACTGGACCCCCACCTTGGAAAAGCAGACTTTGGTGTGCATCTTGGTCCTGTCCAACCACACCCAGCCACGGCAGAGGAGACCTCAAGCCGAGGGCTGTTGATAGCTCCAAACAGAGTACTCAGGGCCAGTCACAAACTGTGTCTGACATTGGCCTGCACCAGAGACCCTTCAAAAAGATTGAGAGTCCTAGCAGATATACCTAATACATAGAAACAAGCCCAAATAGGTAGCCAAAATGGGGAAACAAAAAAACAAGCCCCAAATGAAAGAACAAGAGAAGTCTCCAGAAAAAGAGCTAAATGAAATGGAAATAAGCAATATATCAGATATAGACTTCAGAATATTGATCATAAAGATGCTCAACAGCATGAAAAAAGATATGGAAACTATGAAGGAAATTAAGAATGACGTAGCAGAAATAAATAATACATTGGAAGGAATAAACAGCAGATTAG